GCCTCGGGCAGCCCCCCCCCCCCCCAAAACAACAACAAAAAACCTCAGTGGTTTCCAATTACTCCCAGGAAAAAGCTCAAATTCCTTTGGCACTCAAGGCTAATCACATCTTACTCTAACTTAGCTTTGGTGCCTAATCAACCACTACTCCCCTATGCAAAATTTCTCATCCATCCAAATGGGCCTCCATTATCTCCTGAAAAAGCACTCACACATTGTTTCATTTTAGAAAAATTCATCCTAATTTTCTTCACCCATATAAATTCAAGGTCCAACTCAAGTGACATTCTTGCTGTCATTTTGGATAACAATGAATTACATTCTGAAAACCACTGAGTAGTTCCTAATATTGTTCATTAAGATATTGTTAGTTACTGTGTGTGACGCAAGACCACATAATGAGATTAAATTTGACAAATGATCACTACTTTATTTTTAAGCCCCATATTTGGCATCCCTAACTCAAGCTCCTTAAAGAGCAATAACCAGACTTATTATCTCTCTTCCCTTCTCACCACATGCACCCCTCCCCACACACTCAGCATTTGCCCAGTATTTGTCAACTGATTGATATAAATAGGTACAATCAGAATAGGTAAGGCAAAAGAAAGGTTACAAAAATTGCCAGTAGGCATCAACTAACTAACTGAAGGAAAGTAAAGCTCTCTAAACTTCAGTCTTTCAATTATGAAACAGATAACAATGCCTACCTCAAAGGGATGTTCTGAATATTAAATGCTATTACATATCAGGTTGTTGTAAACTTCAAAGTACCATAACAATATTTATGATTTCCCCAAGTCGTGACGTGACACTAAGACTTGGGATGTACTGAAAGGCATCCTGGAAACTTAACATTTCCAAAACAACTCTTGATTTCCACCTCCTCACTCTTGTTCCTTCCTCATCTTCCTGGTCTCAGCACTACCATCCACCAATTATTTAAGTCAAAAAACTTCAAGTCATCCTCAATTCTTTTCTCTCCTTCACTTCTATATTCTTCATTCCCGTCAGCTCTACCTCTAACATTTATCCTGCATCCATTCACTTCTCTTCTCCACTTCTATGCCCTGGTCAAACCATCATCTCTTTCCTGGACTACTGAACAGTAACTTCTGACTGATTTTCTCACTTTCCATTCTTCACATAGCTGCTTGAATGGTTAAAAATAAGTAAATTTGATCATGTCAGTTCCGTGTTATATGGTTTCCCCTCAAACTTTAAATGCCTTACATTGCCTTATAAAGGCCTCTATCTCTCCCACCTTCATCTCCTACCACTCTTCCCCTTGTTCACTTCGCTATAGTCCAATGGACCTTCTGTCTCAGATATTCCAAACTTTTCACATCAGGGCTTTTGACCTCATTTCTTCTATCTAGAATTCTCTCTCTCTCCTGTCCATGCATGGCTGGCTCTGCTCACATTTTAGCTCAAATGTTACCTACTCAGAGAGAGCTTCTCTTATCACTAGCTAAAGTAGTTCTGTCCCCTCAAACATAAAGATCATGTTTTCTCTCCTAGCATTAATTACTATTTGATATTATCTTTGTAACACTTTGCCTTCATTTAGAACAGTGCTTGGTGCTTAACAAAATAACTTTTTTTTTTTTTTTTTTGGTGACTGGCCGGTACAAGGATCTGAACCCTTGACCCTGGTGTTACAAAGTGGCGCTCTAAGCAGTTGGGCTAATCCGCCCGCCCCCCCCCCCCAATAACTTTTTGAGTGAAGGAATTTGGCTCAATTGTAGTCCATTCTTTGAACAGATACAGAAATGCAGAGGCCCTGAGAAGGAGGGAAACTTCCCCAAACCAACCAAAGTTTGTGGCAGACTTGAAACTAAAACCTGAGGTCCCCGGGGATGTTTAAATCAGGACTCTCTAGTTCCAAACTCGAAACCTGGATCATTTTTTAGGGAAGCCATAAACCAGTGTGAGAGACAGTCCAGACATGGCGCGTAAGAAAGTCACGGAACTGCACACCCACCCATTTCCAACCCATCCTATGAATTCAACTCAACCCCTTGGTTCTGAATCCTAACAGCCCTTGCGACTTGAGCTATACTGTTCGGGTACGCGTTGCCTCGTTACCTCGCATCTCCGCCAACTAGCTGATAGCCACACCCATTACCTCTAAGCAGTTGAGCTAATCCCCCAGCCCCCCCCCCCCAATAACTTTTTGAGTGAAGGAATTTGGCTCAATTGTAGTCCATTCTTTGAACAGATACAGAAATGCAGAGGCCCTGAGAAGGAGGGAAACTTCCCCAAACCAACCAAAGTTTGTGGCAGACTTGAAACTAAAACCTGAGGTCCCCGGGGATGTTTAAATCAGGACTCTCTAGTTCCAAACTCGAAACCTGGATCATTTTTTAGGGAAGCCATAAACCAGTGTGAGAGACAGTCCAGACATGGCGCGTAAGAAAGTCACGGAACTGCACACCCACCCATTTCCAACCCATCCTATGAATTCAACTCAACCCCTTGGTTCTGAATCCTAACAGCCCTTGCGACTTGAGCTATACTGTTCGGGTACGCGTTGCCTCGTTACCTCGCATCTCCGCCAACTAGCTGATAGCCACACCCATTACCTCCTCTATATGATCTGATTGGCTGGCTTCGGTCAGGCCTCGTACTCACCTGGCAGTTCCCTCATTAAATAGAAGGGGCCACAACCAGCCACTGACTTGTCCGCGCCGGGAGGAGCCGTGGCTGAGGTGGGAGGCGGGGCCGTGCCGGGTCCCCCACCCGGAGGAGGCGGAGGCGGGGGTGGAGGTTTTCCTGGTCCGAAGCTGAGTGCGGTTGGGGGTGGTGGTGGGTCAGCCTGAGCGCCGAAAAGCGCTGTGAAATTCTCCATCGTCCCCTCCGCCTCGGCGCTGCCTTGGGTCTGGCGTTGGTGATTCTCATTGGACAATCCTTTCACGGAGTATCGCCCTCTTCCTCTAGGAGCCGCTTATCATTGGATAATAGCCTCAGGCCCCACGTACCTTTTCCGGCAACTACTTCCGTCGCTTTATGAGAACGTTCAGGAAGTGCTATCTAACCATGTTCAACTCTTCTCTGATATCTCCGCTCGCCGCAATCGCATATCCAATAAAATGACTTAGGTGTAAAAGGAACAGCTAGATTGACCAATAAAGCATCATCTCCCTTTTTCAGTTCTGACCCACCAAAGTGTCCAATCAGATATTTACTTCCGGGTGCAGAGGCGGTGCGTCCGAGAATTGGCCCAATCGAAGCCCCAGTGGTGGGAAGGCGGGACTAGAGCTACGGACGCCGGTGAGCGGCGGGCACCGCGATTGACCAAAAGATGGCGGTCCTGGCACCTTTAATTGCCCTAGTGTATTCGATTCCGCGACTTTCACGATGGCTGGCCCGACCTTACTACCTTCTGTCTGCCTTGCTTTCTGCTTCCTTCCTACTCGTGAGAAAACTGCCGCCGCTGTGCCATGGCCTTCCCACCCAACGCGAAGACGGCAACCCGTGTGACTTTGATTGGGTGAGCGCCCCCGCGACCTTGACTGTCCTTGCCCCTGCGGGTGCGTCTGGGAGCCCCAGGGCTCACTTTTCTGAGGACACCTGAGGTTCCAAACCTGTAGTGGATTTACAGGCCATTAGAGTGTAGAGCCCGGACCGTCAAGTTTAAGAGGGGGAAACAGAACGGACTAGTCGCCCCTGCAGAGCAGCTGAGGGTCTTCTGACGCTTCAGTCCAGGCTTTCCATCTCACCATTCGTACTAGTCAACAGCCCTACCCAAACTACACACATACAGCGTTTAACAGTGCTGCTTATTATCTAAAGCCTCTTGAGGTAGAAAGGACGAGTAGGAGTATTCCTGTTTTCGGACAAGTTATTCCTCTTTTATTGACCAAGAGATTGACTTCGGACAAGTTAGACGACTTGTTCAAGGTCACACAGCTAGTGAGTGCCTGCGGCTTGAATTACTCTTCTGGCCATAGTACCGGCGCGTTCTATCAGCCATTTCTTAATTCAATAAACATCTTTATGCTAGGCGCCATGCTGGATCCTGAGGGTGCAAAAATGAATAAAATTTTAAGGCCTGTTATTGGAAAGGAATTGTGAAAAATACATTAATCCACCCTAAGTCCTTTGCTATACTTCCTCTGTAGGAGTGGAGGGACCGCTAGGAAAAAAAATGAGTTAAAGCTCTATGCCCTCTGCTATATGCAATGCACCTATGTTCTGATGGAGGGTGCTGTCCAGAATTTTTTTTCCAGCCCCCGAAATGAGTCTTGATCTTTGCCAGAACTCACTCACTTACTTTTTCCCACCGTTTTTTGTTTATTCTTTTCCTACTTTCTCTGTCCTTTCCAAGTCATTAATTAGTTCAGACGTAGCCGTGCTATTTCAAAAGATCTGGTTAAGTGTTTTTAATAAATCTAAGGGACCTTTTATAGAATTCATTTCTCTGTATACACTTGTTTAATAATATGCAAAATACTAAAGTTTTTATATTTTCTATTACTCTGATAGATTTTTTTTTTTAACTACTTAAGGTTAATAGCCAGTTTTTGTTTTCCTGGAAAATTCCTGGTTTACTGGTTTACATGGTTTACCTTGGTGATTAGGAAATTAGGGAATAAGGTAAATAACATTAACATTATAACAGGTAAACCCCCAATTTTAGTGACTTAACAGAATAAAAGTTTATTTTTATTTTATGAAATAAAAAGAAAGAATCAGCATTTACTTTGCTTTTTCTATGTATACAGGTTGAGCATCCCAAATCCGAAAATCTGAAATCGGAAATGCTCCCAAATCTGAAACTTTTTGAGTGCCAATCTAACACTCAAAAGAAATTCTCATTAGAGCTTTTCAGATTTGGGATGCTCGACTGTAAGTATAATGCATATATTCCAAAATCAAAAAAAATCCAAAACACTTCTGGACTAAAGCACCTAGGATAAGGGATACTCAACCAATACTGTCTTTCAGGGTAACCAAATAATTGATAAGGGAATGTTGATTTCTTAGAGGAATTTAAGCTATAAATACAGAAAGAATGATAGAATTTAAAAAACATTGGTTAGCAACCCCTAATGAAATAGGAAATCTAGGCAGTGATCATTTGTTGACACTAAAACCATCAGATGAAAGATAATGTGTATTCTAAAGTGATACAGTAGGGGCTACCTAGCACCACCTATGGTGTATTTTTGCGAAAAGGTTTTAATTTCATTATATTCAAACTTCTAGATTTCATTACTACTTTACAAGAAATATGGGCAACAGAGGATCATCAACAGAACACATACCATGAGTATGCAAATAGCCAAATCCAGAAAGCGGGGAAAGTCTACAGTACGAATGACTTACTGTCTTTATTTATTTATTTATTTTTTGGCTGCTCGCCAGTCTGGGGATCTAAACCTGTGACCCTGGTGTTACCAACACCACACTGTAATGAAGTGAGCTAACCAGCCAGTACCCTAGTGACTTACTTTCTTCAATAGATAAATAGCATGGGGTAGAAAGGAAGAGCAGGCATCCATTATAGATTAAAGAAGACCAAAGAAACACATTAATGAAATGCAGCATGTGGGTCTTGCTTGGATCCTGATTTGAACAAATAACTAAGACATTTTAAGATAATTGGGATCATTTGAATAAGAAGCAAGTATTAGATGACAGTAAGGAATTATTTTTAATTATGTTAGGTATGTGATATAGAAGAAGACTCAGCTTCTGCTACTACACTCTCACAACACAGAACAATTCTCTTACTTCTGGACACCAAGAAGTGTGTGGGGACTTCTTCCCACCAACAACCAGTTTTACAGCAGACACCAGTAATTCAATTCAGTTCAGTTCTGACATTATCTACCTGGAGTGTCAGATCCCGCAGGTTGAGGGCTCAGTCCCATAAGACTGCTCTCTCTTCAGATGCCAATTGCAGGTAATAAGTTGTCACCTATGCTTCTGACCAATGGGCTATAAATTAGGGTTGTCACTACTCTCTCTTCAGGTTCAACTAATTTGCTAGAGCGGCTCACAGAACTTATGGAAACACTTTAATTACATTCATTGGTTTATTGTAAAGGATATTACAAAGGATACAGATGAAGAGGTGCATAGGGCTAGGTTATGTGGGAAGGGGTACGGAGCTTCCTTACCCTCTCTAAAATTCTCTAACCCACCCAGTTTCTTTTTTTTTTTTTTTAAAAAAAGATGACCAGTAAGGGGATCTTAACCCTTGACTTGGTGTTGTCAGCACCACGCTCAGCCAGTGAGCCAACCGGCCATCCCTATATAGGATCCGAACCCGTGGCCTTGGTGTTATCAGCACTGTACTCTACCAAGTGAGCCACGGGCCGGCCCCAAACCCACCCAGTTTCATTCATGAAAACCCTTCCTAATTTCTGCTTCAGATGTAGTAGTTACTAAGATCTGGTATAATCTCCCACACCCACTTTACATGTCCATATCTAAATCCATTCAGGTGCTTTTTGTTGGAGGTTGAGGCTAAAAACCTAGGTTCCTGACTCCTAGCTATTAATGACCATTGGTTGGTTTTATCTAAAATGACAAGTTGGCCCTCTATATTATAATAAACACAAGGGTACCGAAGGCCTTAGTCCATTCAGTCTATGGTCTCCCTCCCCACCCCAAGCTCTTTCTCAAATGGTTCTTGTTATTCTTCATTGCCATCAGAACTCTGAAATTATCTTGTCTGTGTCTTTGTCATGTTTACTGTCTGTCTCATTTGCTCACTTAGTGTGTACATTCTAGACGGTGAGAAAGAACTGGAAGCCAAGGGTATTAAAAAGGGCTTTTGAGAGCTCTGAAAGCCCCCTTTAGCCCTCAAATTATATCAAAGATGCATAGGTTATCACTCTGAATACTGGGTGGAGAGGAATGATTTAATTTAAGAAAAGCCAAACTAATGGAATAGTCAGATATTGTATTAATGGACTATTACCAAGGAAGGTTCCTTGAAAAAGTTTTATTTTACCAGGGTCATACTGAGTTGGTTATAATAATTATACCATATCATATTTCATACTACCCTTTCATATACATTATCTCATTTAGTTCTCACGGTATCATTTGAAATACATATTGTTCAATTGAGGAAACCAAAGCTCAAGGATTAAGTGATTTGCCAAAAGGCACCAGCTAGTTTGTGGCCACGGTACAACCTGAACCTAGATATTCTGACTGGTGTTTTTCCTACTACCCCTTAGTTGACTCCAGTTATTCCCAGTTTGGATCTGTTAGGTTTTATTCCATATTTGGTTCTCTCACCGACCCACATCAGCTCTGTTCACTGCATTCCTGTCACTTTAATTCTGTTCTAGAGAGAAGTGGAGATCCTGATGTTTCTCAGTGCCATTGTGATGATGAAGAACCGCAGATCCAGTAAGTTTTGTCTGCTTTCCAGTCTCTCAGGGTTGCCTAATGCCTTCCAGAGGTGCTTTCATTCATTTGCTGAACTTGTCCCACGTTTTATGCCAAGGCTGATTTTGATCTTGGACTTCTATCCCTCTCCATTCTCCCATTTTAAAGTGCCCCAGGAAGAGGGACAAAGAATAGGATATAGGAGTCTTCAGCCCAGCCTGATTTGTGACATCTCTGTGTTTCAGTCACTGTGGAGCAACATATAGGCAACATCTTCATGTTTAGTAAAGTGGCCAACGCAATTCTTTTCTTCCGCCTGGATATTCGCATGGGCCTGCTTTACATCACACTCTGCATAGGTGAGGAGGCTGCCTTTCTTTGGGTTCTTTGTAAGATTATGTTGAGAAAGACTTGATTGTGGGAACCAAATTCAGTTCTAAACAGGCTCCTCCTTACCCTTCTTCTATATCTTGCACCTAATTATTTCTGTATCTCAGATGTTAAGCTACAGATACTGTATTTTAAGGGGAAGGGAATGTGTTGGTGCTCTCCATATGTCCACAAATATGTATTCTTTGATGGCTGAAGTCCTTGAGTTGATGTGGAAGTAAATACCCTGCAAAAGGCCTTATATGTTTTTGCTGACATTTTCTTTCTGTGTTTAGTGTTCCTGATGACATGCAAACCCCCGCTGTATATGGGCCCTGAGTATATCAAGTACTTCAACGATAAAACCATTGATGTGAGTGCTCTTCCTTCCTTCTGTTTCTTGGGTTCTTGGTGGGTGATCTTGTAGTTGTCCTCTCTACTCAGTAGCAGGAACAACAGTGCTTCAAAATGGAAGTTAAGGACACTAGTTCATTATGGGAGCCAAGGAAGAGGGGAAGCCAGGATGAGGAATTAGACCCTAAGGTCTGAAGTTTCCCAGGAACGTATGTGTTCCAGCTCACTGTTTCGTCCCTGTGTGTGGCAGGAAGAACTGGAGCGGGACAAGAGGGTCACTTGGATTGTGGAGTTCTTTGCCAATTGGTCTAATGACTGCCAGTCATTTGCTCCTATCTATGCTGACCTCTCCCTCAAGTGAGTAGTGCAAAGGTGGGGGATGATGGAGATTGAGATGCTGTACCTTCACTCTCATTATTTTTGGCCTTGATTTGTACACTTGAAACCAAAGGCATTTCCCCTTCCTATCCCCCAAATATCTATTCTTTTACTTCCCTCGATACATACTTTTTTCTCTGTATGTTGAATAATATATTCTTCTCAGGTACAACTGTACAAGGCTAAACTTTGGGAAGGTAGATGTTGGACGCTACACTGATGTTAGTACAAGGTATGTAAATACCTGGGAAGAGGATCTGAGCAGGGAATCACTTTGAGTAATGTATGCAGGTGCATTTACAGAGTCCTTTCTGGGCCCCGTAGGTACAAAGTGAGCACATCACCCCTCACTAAGCAACTCCCTACCCTGATCCTCTTCCAAGGTGGCAAGGAAGTAATGCGGCGGCCACAGATTGACAAGAAAGGACGAGCTGTTTCTTGGACCTTCTCTGAGGTACCTGGAAGGAAGGGCAAGTGGTTTGGAGAAGGCTGTAGAACAGTAGATGGGCTTTGGAGCCCTACCTAGGTTTGATTTCTGGCCCTGCCCCTTTCCCACTAGCTTTGAGGGTGTGGACTAGTTACTGGACCTTATTTATTCATTCAGTAAATTTATATTACGTGCCAGACCTGATAGTATGAGGGAACAACTATTAGTTAAGACTCAGTCTCTAGGGTTCCTGCACCCATAGTCTGTAGGTATTAGGTTCCTCATCGGTAAATTGGAGACCGTAACACCTTGCTCACAGGATTGTTTTTCAGATTACATTAAATAATGTAGGTATAATTCTTGGCACAGTGATTGGCACATATGGGTACTTAAACATTAGATGACTTTTCTGGCTACCTAAAAAGAGGAAAGTTGGGTTAGAGCAGATTTCTGTCCTTTGTTTCCTCTCTTCTTTCCTAGACTTTGTCTAAATAATTCTTGTCAGGCTCTGAACTCTCCCTTCCCACCTGGATCCTGATGTGTGCATCTCTTTTGCGCAGGAGAATGTGATTCGCGAATTCAACTTGAATGAGCTATACCAGCGGGCCAAGAAGCTGTCAAAGGCTGGAGATGATATCCCTGAGGAGCAGCCTGTAGCCCCAACCCCCACCGCAGTGCCAGATGGGGAAAACAAGAAGGATAAATAGGATCCCTCCTTGTCAATGCTTCCTCTCCTGTCAACTCCAGGCGCCTTTGAGGCCCTGCTCCTGATCTGTAACCACAAGCCTTGCCTGAGACTGAGGCCTTTTATTTATGTTTTCCCTGTTTGGCTGTGCCTGGATTGGGCAGGGTGCTGCTTCTGATTTTAAAGAGGCATCCAGGGAATTGTCAGGCACCCTACTGGAAGGCCTGCCCTGCTATGGCCAACTGTTTCACTGGAGGAAGGGAGAGATCTCATGTGATGGAGGAGGAAATGGTTTCACTCCAAGCTCGAGTCATTGTGTTAACTGCTGTCCACCACTCAGACATCACCACCACCCTGTGGTTTTATTATTCCTCTTAGAGGACCTACACAGCCTAGTTAGACAAAAGGTGCCTGGGTATAGAGTGATAAGAATTTTCCCTCAAGGACTTCCTTAGCTTCCTTAGGCCCTTCTGGCTTGTTCTATAGCCTCAGGAAAAGTATAAACCTATTTTGTCACAAGGAGAATCCTTTAACCACAGAGTTTTCATCACCGAAGAGGGTATTGAACAGTCCCCCTATTTTGCGGGAGATTGAGAGGAAAGGGAATAGAGGCTTGAGACTTTTTTTGTGTGGTGTGACCTAGAAGAGAAAGCCCCTGGGCTTCATTGGGGTTTCACTAACCCTCCTACCTACTCCCCACACCCAGTTAGTTGATGGTTTTCCATAATAAAAAGACTGGGATTTCCTTTTGATTGCGCCTTTGTGTGCTTCTCTTGTATTAGAAAAGCCAGGTAGGGCCGGCTGGTGGCACACTCGGTAGAGTGCGGCGCTCCCGCCGAGGGTTCGGATCCCGTATAGAGATGGGTCCGCGCGGTGCGGGCGCGACACTGAGGGTTGCGATCCCGATACCGGTCACGAAAAAAGACAAAAAGGAAAAAAAAAAAAAAAAAAAAAAAGCCAGGTAACTGCAGAGGAATTGCCCGATTTCTTAACGTCACTATTCGATTTCACCAGGTGCAGGGCACTGACTCCCCAGGAATGGTGAGAGCTGGGGAAGCATAGTTTCAGCAATGTTAAAGTAGGGACCAGACTGCGAGGAGTTCCGTTGATTTAGTTTGGGATTGAGCCGTGGATCCCAGGGAGGAACAGGATTTGGGGGAAGGTCATGGCGTACACCATTAAGCGCGACGTATAGGTACAGAAGAGCCTCCGCGTGAAGCGCGGCTTGTTTTCGGACCTACCTAGTTCAAGCGCCCTAATGTCCCTACCCTCACCAACCTTCCCCCTCCAGCGCGTGCAGAGTGGTAGCGCCCGAGTGTTCCTCCTCCATACCTCGTGGGCGCAGCCGCAGGCCACGTTTTCTCCCCCAGGTGAAGTTTCGCTCTGCGGGCGGAGTTTTCTGGGCTGCAGTTTGGCGTTCGGAGCGGGACGGTTCACTGCCCGCTTCCCTCTCAGTGGTCTCGTCTCCACCGCATTCTACCCACCTCCCCGGACCTGCAGGTCGGCTCTGTTCCCGGCCAGGCTCTAGGGTATGGCTCCCCGCGGAAGGAAGCGGAAGGCTGAGGCCGCCGTGGTCGCCACGGCCGAGAAGCAGGAGAAGCTGGCGAACGGCGCGGAGGGAGTGGAGGTGGCGACCGTCGTTATCGAGCATTGGTGAGCGGCCTGGAGAGTCACCGGGGGCTGGGGGAAGCGGGGACAATGGCGCTGCACACCAAGGGCGCGAGTCTCTTAACTTCCCATCTCTCCCTAGCACGAGCTGACGCGTCTATGGGCGCAACGCTGCGGCCCTGAGCCAGGCGCTGCGCCTGGAGGCCCCGGAGCTTCCAGTGAAGGTGAACCCCGCCAAGCCCCGCAGGGGCAGCTTCGAAGTGACGCTGCTGCGCCCGGACGGCAGCAGTGAGTGGGGGCCCGGGCCTGGTGGGAGAGGGGCATGGTGTCTGAAGTGAGGAAGCGCTAGTCTCAGAAACGGCGGCCACCCGATGATTTTTGGAGAGGCGCTCGTGGATTCCAAAGTAACTTCGCTTATTGGGCCCTTTTCCAGGTGCGGAGCTCTGGACTGGGATTAAGAAGGGACCCCCACGCAAACTCAAATTCCCTGAGCCTCAAGAGGTGGTGGAAGAGTTGAAGAAGTACCTTTCGTAGGGAGGTTTGGGCAGAAGCCCTCATGCTGAGGTTTGAAATGGAGGGGTGTGGTGAGAAAGGGAGGGGGTTGATCTTGGTGCTACTTGCAGAGTAGCTCTTATAATTCATTTCACAGATCATCTAAAAAAAAAAGCTTACTACCTCACTGCGTATTTCATTTCGTTTTATTTGAACTAAATTGTGTAATAATGATGGTAATGTAAATGACTATAGAAGGGCAATTTGTGTCCTTCAGAGATGCGGTTGATTGTTGCCCTGAGAGTGTGGACCAGTTTTGCATGTGTTTGAAAATTCATTTCCGCATTTCTGATGGGCTTTAATTCTTTGAACCAGTTGTAGCTCTTACTGGTTCCCTAATTAGTAAGTTAAACCTTTGACAACTGTTTTTACGTTTTAGTGATTTTCCCTTTTCAACTAGCAAAATCTTTGATGTTACTTCATGTGTGCTTACCCGTCCACTCTCCCGTTTTTCGTTCCTGTTGTGTTCTTTACTGTTATAGTCCGTGTGATAACAATACCTGTACGATGATTTGACCTTGTCTTTGTTCCTGTGCTTCGTACATACAGCGCCCTGACATGCGTCAGGCCCTTGGTTGCATGCGATTTGGGGGAAGGATGCAATTTCTTGAGCTATTGGGTTTGTGAGTTCAAGGGTGTGTGTGTGGGGGGAGATGTCTTCCTCAGCTTTTGTGATTGCCTGGATCCCTTCTCTAACCACCTTTCCTCTCATTTTTGCAGCTTTCTGTCCCTGGTGATGATGGAGCATTTATGATGGGACATGGCCAAACTTCAGTCATGTGCCTGATGCCATGGTTTCTTCCCCTCCAGAAATGATGGTTCAGTTGTGAGGCAACCCTCTAGCTCTACTAAGGCATTGCAAAAGTTATGGGATTTGGTTTGTTCAATAAAAGTTGAAATAAAGCATTTGAATAATAGAGTAAAACTTAACCTTATGTTAAGGGATGGATAAAGCCAGCCTTGTCGGATTGGTGGTGCTTGTATTTTTCATAGTCCAAGGTCACCATTTGACCTGGAACTCCTAGGGTCTCTGGTAAAGCAGGTGAAATACTTGTAAAAACTATGGGAGCAAAGTAAATAAGTTATGTTTTAAGAAAGCAACTCTTTTTCAGCTCACTTCTTGGAAGTGATGACAAGTATATCTTCCTGGTCCCTGCAGAGGTTTTAGCTAGACTTCCCACACTGGCAATGAACAAGCCCCACGCACATTAGGTGCTGGACAACATTCCATCATTCCCGCCCACTTAGTCTTCCACCCAACACTGCTTCACACCTTCAGGAACATTTTAACACAAAACCCCATCACAGAGGGTGTTCTCAGCTTTTCCTGAATTTGTGGTGACTTGATGCCTCATGACCTAAGAGACCTGGCTTTGACTGTTATCTATGACCTGTTAGAGTTGGGGATCAGAGTTTATTATTTCACTTGTCATTAACTGGAAAATAGATTACAAAGAAATAAGATGGTTCAAGTTCATAATTTTCTACGCACAGTACTGTTTGACCTCTGCCTGGCTTCCAAGGCCTGGGGAGGAGAGGTGAGGAGCTATAAAGAGACAAGGGTACACCTGCCTCTTGTGCTAAGAGAAGAGGATACGTGCTAGCTTCTGCCAAATCGCCGTTTGCTTCTAGCCAACTCTTCCCACCCTCCCAGATCCCCTAACCTGCCCCCTCCCCCCAACTCCACTACGTAAGTATATCTACTTCTGTTTCTGACTCGGAGGAAGGGTCAGGCCATACAGAAGGAATACTGTTGGGCACCAGGTTCCCCTCTGCTGTCCAGTCCACCACATCGATCTCTTCCTCTTCAGAGCTGGCAGAAAGTGATCCCAGCAACTCAGATTTACCAGATACCTCCTTGCCCGCCTCTGGAGCAGGGTACAATACCTCGTCCATAGTTAGGGACACTTCCAGCCCAGTCTCTGCCCAGTTTGAGAAGGGAGGTGAGAGGTCCCCATAAGACCTTTGGTGAGGGTCAAAAGAGTCAATGTGGAGAAATTTATCTCCCTGACCATCCAGTGGCTGGGAGGCGGTAATTTCAAGGTCTGGCGTCCAAGAGCCTCTCACTAAAAGCACCTCTCCTTCACTCATCTCAGAGGGCATGACAAGGGGGCTAAGGGGCTCAACTGGCTCTCTGTTTTCACCAACAGGTTCCTTTTCTAGTTCTGTGAGCTCCCTAGGCCAGAGTTCCATGTCTGGCAAACACCACTCTTCCCCTTCAATCCAGTTCTTTCCTGTTTCTGTAAGGTGATAACTGGGGGTCCTGCAGCTCTCAGCTGCAGGACTCTCTGGATGACCTATAGGTGGCTCAATGTCTGAGCCACACAGCATGAAGTCCAAGATCTCCTCTAGCTCACTGGTAGCAGCACCACTTGTGATGCGGTACTCCTCAGCCTCACAAGGCTGCCTGAGCAGAGCTGTGTCAAATGCATAGGGCTCTTTGTAGTCAATATCCAACACAGGTTCCTTCCCTACCAGCTCTGAACTGCACCCAGGTTCAGACTTCACCACTGGGTGGTTGGGAGAATGGCTAGCAGAGAGCAGAATGTCTTGTAGCCTAGAGCACTTGAGGGAGTCCTGACACAGTTCTATTCTTGGAGATGACATTTCCTGTTCATTAACTGAGGATGACTGACTCCCTGGAGATTCTTGTAAGTCTCCTCCAGGCTCTGGGATCTGGGGGCTATCTTGAGAGTTTTTGAGGGGAGGCTCTTGGACCACCTCCCAGCATGTCCCATTGACAATCTTCCGAAGTTTGACTCTCCCAACCTGCCCCTCCTCTGCAGAGTCTGAGTTAGGTGCCCTGACTTCAAGGCTCCGCTTCTTGTTCCCACCTGTCTTTCCAAGACCAGACGGGCTGGGGGTGCTGTGTAGAGGACTAGCTGTCCCTGGTTTTTGCTTGTCCTCTGGTGCTTCTTTATTTATACTCCTCTGCCGCCAAAGACGCCGGCCAGAGGCTGTGGGCACTGAGCTGGGTCTGCTTAAAATGCTGGAAGGCTTTGATGTACAGACATCAGGAGATGGCTTTGAGCGGCTTAGCCTGATCTTTCTGGGCAACAGTCGCTCATCCATGGAGGGGTACAAGCTGGTAGGGGAAAGGGTAGGACCAAGAGCAGAGTCACTCTTGTTCTCCTTAGGACTCTGACTGTGGCTTGACGGTGAGGAGCTTTTCTCTTGTGGAGTTGGGCAGACTCTGGCCTTCCTCTTGACAAGAGTGCCAGATAAGTTTTCTGCTCTCTGTCGGTTGCTCTTCTCCTGGGGCCCCTCCTCCTTCCCCAAGGACTTCAGTCTCACTGCCCCAAGAGGACAGGGAGTCTGGGTAAGAGGCAGTGGAGTTCGAGGGCGGCGGCTAGGTGCAACCACCCTAGCAGAGATTGGTGCAGCATTTGGAGGTTGTAAGCATTCTCGGTTCAGTCTTCTGCCCTGTGGGGCCTTCACCAACTTTCCACCCTCTAGCTGAAGGGATTCTAGCTCAGACACACGGAGCTTACGGGCAGCAGAAAGCACATCCTGGGCTTCTTCTTGAGATACTTCCATCTCTGAGGTGTACAGGAAGTCTACCAGCTTCCTAAGTGTCCTTATCTTCAGGTCCCCCAGCTCCAGCACCACCTTCCGACCCTGAGCTGGCCTCTCCTGCTCCAAACGCTCTGTGAAGAAGGGGCTGCAGGCCGACAAGATGCAGCAGTGGGCTGGGACTGCCTCACCTGGAGGGAAACACAAATACTTTTGTTACCTCATGTAGACTGGCCTGTTTATGGGCTAAGGATAGACATTACTACCCAAATATACTGCCCCTTCTGTTATTTTCCCTCCATGGTGCTTCCAGTAAAAGGAAAGAAATTTGTTCCACCTGTTTGCCTGGAACCTTCTGCCGTTACCTAGCTGACTCTTTTTCTTCTTCAAAATCTAGCTTAGACATCACTTCCTTCAGAATGCCTTCCTTGTTCCTCATCTGGACCCGGAGGGAGAAGCCAGGTTCCCACAGCATGCCCCACCACTAGGTGAGTCATGCAGCTCATCCTAAGGTCACAGACTCTGGAACAGGACCCAAAGTGGTGTAATAGCTACTACCACACCTACTCTCAAGCAAGGACCATACACCACCACAGTAGCAGCCAGGGCCACTCTACAGGTAACCTATGGCTCACTCGACTACACTGATAGGAGAAGAGTCACCAGTAAAGCCTGCAAATAGAGGAAGAAACCTTGATCCTTATAGCTAACCTCAGTGTAATAGAAGCAGACCCTCTACCAAATGACTAAACGTCAATGAAAAAATACTACAACTACAAATAAACAAGAAGATATGACACCACCGAAGGAATACAGCAATGCTCAAATTTCAGACTCCATGGAACACGGAATCCTTGAAATGTCTGAAAAAGAATTCAGAGCAATGATCTTAAGAAAACTTGAAGAAATAAAAGAAGACTCAATTAGAGAACACAATGAAGCAAGAAAAAATATCCAGAATATGAAGGAGGAAATCTACAAAGAGATTAATACCTTAAAAAAGAGTGTGGCAGAACTCCTAGAAATGAAAGATTCACTCAATGAAATAAAAAACACAACAGGGAGCTTAAGCAGTATGGTAGAGCAAGTAGAAGAAAGAATCTCAGATCTCGAAGATGGTCTCTTGGAAATAACCCAGGCAGATAAAAACAGGAAAAAAGAATTAAAATAATGAGGAAAATCTAAGAGAGATAGAGACATAGAGAGATGTCAAACGCTTTAACATCCGAATTGTGGGTATTCCAGAAGGGGAGAAGAAAGGAAAAGGTATTGAAAACCTATGCAAGGAAATAGTAACAGAAAACTTCCCAAGTGTAGGGAGAGAGAGATACAGACCTTCAGATCCAGGAAGCTGAAAGGTCCCCAAACAGATTCAACCCAAAAAGATCCTCCCCAAGACACATTATAGTTAAATTTCCAAAGCTCAAAGACAAAGAGAGAATTCTAAAAGCAGCAAGAGAAAAGCATCAAGTCACCTTTAGGGGAGCCCCATCAGACTAACAGCAGACTTCTCAACCAAAACCCTACAGGCCAGAAGAAAGTGGAATGATATATTCAAAATACTAAAAGAAAAAAATTGCCAGCCAAGAATTCTATACCCAGCAAGGCTCTCCTTCAGAAATGAGGGAGAAATAGTGTATTTCCTGGACAAACAAAAGTTGTGGGAGTTCACCACCACACGACCAGCCCTGCAAGAAATTCTCAAGGGAGTCCTGCATCTGGAATCTGAATAATGATGACTGTATCACAAATACACAAGAGAAAGCAAAACCCACTGTTAAAACAAATTTGCCAGTGAGAAAGAGAAAGAAGCTAAATCATGCCCTATTAAATCTCCAACTAACATTGAAGAAGAGAAATAAACGGGGAAGTAATGATCAAAAGATATTTAAATCATCTAAACCAAAAGCAATTAAATGACATGAATTAAACAATACCTGTCAATAACTACCCTAAATGTGAATGGATTAAACTTCCCATTCAAAAGATGTTGCTTTGCCTCCCACAGATTTGTCACCCCTTTCCCCCTGGGTGAAGGAGCCACCAAAGATTACTCAAAGCCCATATCTTCTGAGCAGTGAGAAGCCCCAAAAGGGGTTAATCTCCCAGAATCCTCAAGAGCGAGGCATTCCTTCCATTTGGGAAATTAACCATGAATTGGGCTTCTCTTCCCACATTTATTCTCCAGACCAGGAAGTTACAGGAAGAGAACATAGGTGGGGTTTTTGCTAAGTACAGTTTAAGAAGCTTAACAATAGAAGCTGGTAACATTCAGTAAGGTGACATTCTATAATGCAATTTGCAACAAAAGCTTGATTTTAGCAAACATTCTCTTCTTACAGCAGTTACCCAGTATCTTTACATATCAATCAGTAACCTGTCTGTCTTTGAGCCAGCAACCTTGCTGTGTTACAATTGTTTATCTTACAACAGAGACTATATAGCCTGGGGAAAATTTCCTGTCCTTTGCAAGGTCAATATTTGAAACTGCAAGGCTTTGGAAAACTAGGCCCTGTGAAGTACATTTGCTTTATGCATACTTCACAAAAAGACATAGACTGTGTGGCAGAACTAAATGAAAATAGAGACCCAGAAAACAATAGAAAAGATCAACAAAACAAAAAGTTGGTTTCTCGAAAAGATAAATAAAATAGACAAACGATTAGCTAGGTTAACAAAAAAAAAAAAGAAGAGAGAAGACCCAAATAACAAAAATCAGAAATGAAAAGGGAAGCATTACAACTGATACCACAGAAATATGAAGAATCATTAGAGACTATTATAAACAACTATATGACAACAAATATGGAAATCTGGAAGATATGGATAAGTTTCTAGACACATACAAACTACCTAGACTGAACCAAGAAGAGATAGAAAACCCGAACAGACCAATAACAAGCAATGAGATTAAAACGGTAATCAGCAATTTTCCAACAAAGAAAAGTCCAGGTCTGGATGGCTTTACAGCTGAATTCTACCAAACTTTTAAAGAGGAATTAATACCAACTCTCCTCAAACTGTTCCAAAAAATTGAAACAGAAGCTACTCTCAGAAACTCACTCTATGAGGCCAAAAAATCTCTAATACCAAAACCAGATAAAGACACAACAAAAAAAGAAAATTACAGGCCAATTTCCTTGATGAACATAGATGTAAAAATCCTCAGCAAAATATTAGCAAGCAGAATACAGCAACACATTAAAAAAAATCATACACCATGATCAAGTGGGATTGATCTCAGGGAAGCAAAAGATGGTTCAACATACAAAAGTCAATAAATGTGATACATTGGGCTGGCCCGTGGCTCACTCGGTAGAGTGCAGTGCTGATAACACCAAGGCCCCGGGTTCGGATCCCACATAGGGATGGCCGGTTCGCTCACTGGCTGAGCGTGGTGCTGACAACACCAAGTCAAGGGTTAAGATCCCCTTACCGGTCATCTTTAAAAAAAAAAAATAAAAAAAAAAATAAATAAATAAATAAATAAATGTGATACATCACATCAACAAACTCAAGGACAAAGACTATATGATTATCTCAATAGATGCTGAAAAAGCATTTGACAAAATTCAACATCCCTTCATGATAAAAACTCTCAACAAATTAGGTATAGAAGGAAAGTATCGCAACACAATAGAAGCCATTTATGACAAACCCACTACTAGTATCATTCTGAGTGGGGAAATACTGAAGGCCTTTCCCTTAAGAACAGGAACAAAACGAGAATGCCCACTCTCACCACTTCTATTTAACATAGTACTGGAGGTACCAGCCAGAGCAATCAGCCAAGAGAAAGAAATAAAGGGAATCCAGATTGGAAAAGATGAACTCAAACTTTTGCTATTTGCAGATGACATGATAGCATATAAAGAAAAACCTAAAGACTCTACCAAAAAACTCCTAGAACTGGTTAATAACTTCAGTAATGTTGTGGGATACAAAATAAATGCCCCCAAATCAGTAGTATTTATATATTCAAATAATGAGCTAACAGAAAGAGAAATAAAGTAAGCCTATTTACAATTCACAAAACAAACAAACAAACAAAAAAAAAACCCAGGATCAATTTAACCAAAGAGGTGAAAAATCTCTACAATGAGAACTACAAACCACTTCTGAAAGAAATTAAAGAAGACACAAAAAGATGGAAAGATATTCCATGCTCTTGGATTGGAAGAATTAACATTGTGAAAATATCTATACTACCTAAAGTGATGTACAGATTCAATGAAATCCCTATCAAAATACCAATGACATTCTTTACAGAAAGGGAAAAAGCAATCTTACCTTTCATATGAAATAACAAAAGACCCCAAATAGCCCAAGAAATTCTGAGCAAAAAAAAATAAAGCCAGAGGCATAACACTATCTGACCTCAAATTATACTACAAAGCTATTGTAACCAAAACAGCATGGTACTGGTATAAAAATAGACATTCAGACCAGTGGAGAAGAACTGAGAACCCAGAAATCACCCCTCAGGCTTACAGCCATCTGATACTGGACAAAGGCAACAAAAATCTACATTGGGAAAAAGACTGCCTCTGCTGGGAAAACTGGATATCCATATGAGAAGAATGAAACTAGATATGCACCTCTTACCACACACTAAAATCAACTCAAAATGGATTAAAGACTTAAGTATAAGACCTGAAACTGTAAAATTACTAAGGGAAAATATAGGTGAAACACTTCAGCAACTAGGCCTGGGCAGAGACTTTATGAACATGAGCCCAAAAGCATAAGCAGCAAAAGAAAAAATAAACAAATGGGACTATATCAAACTAAAAAGCTTCTGCACAGCAAAGGAAACAATGAAGACTGAAACAACAACCTACAAAGTGGGAGAAAATTTCTGCTAACTATACATCCAATGAGGGATCAATATCCATAATATAAAAGGAACTCAATTATACAGTAAAAAGACCAAATAACCCAATTAAAAATGGGCAAAGTTGCTGAATAGGCATTTTTCAAAGGAAGACATACAAATGGCCAACAGGTACATGAAAAAATGCTCATCATCACTAGTCATCAGGGAAATGCAAATTAAAACTACATTGAGATACCACCTCACACCAGTTAGACTGGCTATTATCAAAAAGACGGTGAATAACAAATGCTGGCAAGGGTATGGAGAGAAGGGAACACTCCTGCACTGTTGGTGGGACTGTAAATTAGTACAACC